ACCCCAAATAGAGAGAAAGAGAGAACACACATGTGTTTGCACACCCACCCACCCACCCACCCACCTACCTACCCACACAAAGTAATAATGACAAGACCAAACAAAGAAACCAGACTACCTGGAAGCCAATGGTCTGCAGTTCATTGTGGAGGCCATCCAGGACGCGTCGTCCATCAAAGATAAAGGCTGGTTTCAGCATTTTTTTGTGAATCCGTTCATAATCCAGCTCCTGTGAAGACATACCAAATGAATAACTAGAACGCACATGTGGACACATACTCAACCTGCAGTGACACTGGAATGCCTCTAGAATTTTCTTGATGTCATTTTTGTGACTTCACCTTAAACATGTCCCATTCAGTGCAGATAACAAGGGCATGGGCGCCATCACACGCTTCATATGGATCCTTGGAAATGGTCACCAGTCTGGACACTATAAAAACAGCAACAATGACCGAAAGAGAATTGGGAACCAAGGAGTCTGTAGAAAGCATGTCTGGCAGAAGTGAACAATAGGGGAATGAATGGGAACAATGGGAAACCAGGAGCACCCCAAATTTTCTCCAGAATTATTTCCTGAGATTCCCTGGGGATCTGTGGAGTACCACTGAGATATATCATTGCCCCCTGCAAAATTAGCTAGATTAAAACACCAGTGGTGACTTCAAATCAAAGCTGAGAGCACTATAACTAAGAGTTTATTTATTTTTTGAGAAATGAGGCTGAATACAGGGCCAATCCTTGACAGTGACAAAAATTTCAACTACCAAAGGTTTCAAAGAAAAAAACAGTTGTGTGGGTTTGTATCTAGCATGGTTTATGGAACAGAGTCTTACCTTGGTCATCCACTGAAACACCTGGATGAGAAAGATCCACAACTATTTGTTCCCTGGGTACTTTGGGATCATATATATGGAGGTGTGCACCTTCATCCATCAGGTATTTGCTAATGTAGATACTGGAGGACTCTCTGAAGGATAAACAAATGAGTGTTGCTTTAAATGATATAGTTGTTTATTGTTTTGTTTTCCCAAACAGGGTTTCTCTGTGTATCCCTGGCTGTCTTGGAACTCCTTTTGTAGACCATCTGGCCTCAAAATTAGAGATCTACCTGCCTCTGCTTCCAGAGTGCTGGGATTAAAGGCATGTGCCACCACCACCACCTAGCTAAATGACGTATTCGAATAGCAGGAAATTTAAGATATGGGTAAGTTCTAGTTAAACTTAATTGTTGAGGATACAGATGCTTTTTTTTTGTGTTTTTTTTTTGTTGTTGTTGTTTGGTTGTTTTGTTTTGTTTTTAAGACAGTGCTCCTCTGTGTAGCTCTGGCTGTCCTGGATCTCACTTTGTAGACCAGCCTGG